TTCAAGACATTCTATCTGAATCCTTTAAAATAGGTCATGTCATTCTCAAATTTCTTGTTTCTGAGAGGTATTTTCAAACTTCTTTTATTTTAAGCATGTTTGTATTTTATTTTTTATGAGTTAATTGGTCTCTACTTGGGCTAGTATTTAGAAGTATGGCCACTTCATTCACTTTAAATTGAATATGTAGCTTGGGATTATTTGAGATCATTTTTATTGTTTTGGGCTGTATTCTGTATGAGGACTTGCTATGGGTGCCATTTCTTAAGGTCTTTTTTTGTCCCTTGAATGTTTCCTGTTTGCCATGTGTCTGCTCTATCTTGGTATAGTGTGTTATGTATGCTGTTCTAGTTAAGTGTTTATGTGGTTATTGTGAGAGTATCTGTGTTCTAGCTCATGGGGCCCCCTCCAGATGGGTGCTACGTTTGTGTCTTATCAATGTTCTAGAGGTATTTCTTACCCTAGACATATTTTAAAATCTGCTTCTTTGCATGGAGATTTCTACACCCCTGGTGTGCATAAATTAAAAAAAATGTCAGGCCTCACTTTGACGTCACAGAAGAGGTTACCCTGACCCACTCCTTACCCCCACCCTGTCTGAAGACAGCTAGCTTCCTTGACCTTCTCTGCTATGCCTGTAGGCCACACATGTGCTTCATCCCTTCTGTCCTGGCAAAGCTCAGAGGGAGCCTCCTGACTTGGGACTTGTTAGGCTGCCCCCTGTGCTGCTCTGGCTTCTCCCAGTTCCCCAGAGCTCAAGTTTCAAGTCTGCCCTTTTTGGTGTATGGAGAGGTCCCTCTCTTAAAAGCAATTCAATTCATTTATATTGTTTTATCCAGCAATTTGAGAGGTTTTAAGAGCGTGCTTTAGTTTAAAATTATCTTCTAGGCCATTGCCTTGCTAGACTCTGGTGTGGCCATGTACTCTTTGAGCTATGGCTGTTGCCACGCTGTCTGGCTTTGGCCCCCTCCCCCACCTTGGGGAGGTGAATCTTCTTTTTCTCTCTATAGTTTCCTTTAAATAAACTATATTTTCTAATCTAAAAAAATAAAAAATAAAATGACCTTCCTGTGTTGCCTTTTTCCATTAAGAGAAAAATACTTGATTTGGAAAAGGATCTATAATGATTCTTTTTATTAACTTTTAAATTTTTTATTTTAAAGATGTGGGATACAGTTCAGGGTTAGGTATACAAATGTTCATTATGCAGGTACCCTTGTTTGTATCCCCCACTCCCAGCAGTTTCCTTCAACTGCCAATCCCACCTCCCCTTCCCTGGCAGTTTCCCACTACTGCCAATCCCTTTTTTTATAGTATTATGATAATTGTTCAAGGTCTGCTTATGAGTGAGAACATATTGTACTCTGTTGTTTGTTTCTGCAATAGATCACTGAGTATGATAGACTTTAAATTCATCCAAGTTGCTGCAAGGTCCATATGTTTGTCCTTCTTTATGGTTGCATAATATTTCATTGTGTATATGTACCACCTTTTAAAAATCCAGCCCAGCTTCTATGGGCAGCATGGTTGGTTCCATGTTTTTACTATATAATGATTCGTTTTTTGTTTTGAGTTGGAGTTCTTACCCTGCTGCTCAGGCTGGAGTGCATTGACATGCTCACGGCCACTGCATCCTTGACCTGCTGGTGATCCTTCAGCCTCAACCTTCCAAGTAGCTGGAACTACAAGCATGCGCCACCATGCCTGGCTAATTTTTTGACTTATTGTAGAGATGAGGTCTCACCAAGTTGCCCAGGCTCGTTCGAATCCATGGGCTCAGGTAATCCTCTCACCCTGGTGTCCCAAAGTGCTGGGATTATAGGTGTGAGCCACTGCTCCCAGTCTTGTAATGATTCTTAATTGACTGATAACACTCCCTGTTTTGGACAGTTTGTTTCCAACTTGCTGCCACAGTAGATAGATGAACAGGATGATGAACACATCATCATAGATTGTGCCTGTTCTCGTGGATAGTACTGATGTCCCACGTGTGCCAGGTTGTGCTGGGCCTTGAGACACTCACCAAGTTCCTAGTAAGGCGGGGCACTACCATGGACACGTGTGTGAGGGCAGCTGAGCCTCTGCTGCAGATGGGGGCTTGATGTGGTCACAGAGGCTGAAAGGTCCCCCACAGGAACTCTACAGAACTGGCCGCATGGCTGTCCAGGAGTAGCCATTGGCGTGCAACTAGTACCACTGGGACCATGCTGTGTTTGACTTAGTCCCAGGGTGCCCCAGGATGCTTATTCCTTCCAGAGTTTGGCAAGATCACATGAGATTGAGTGACCTTGGTGGTAGTGGATAGATGCCTGACGTGGCTGTGGGGTTGCTGTGAGGGGAGGAAGACAGGACTGTGTTGGTTTGTGGGTGCCAGTTAGAGGCAGAGAAGAACATTGGAGATGCCCTGACGTCTGCAGATCTGGTCACACTGGTGCTGCCAGCACCCTGGGGATAAGTCACTATGCAACGCTAGCCTCTGGAGCATACCATGCTGCCATCTGTCTAGGTCCTCTGGGGCCTTTCTGGTCTTCATGACCGCATCTAGACCCCCCCCCCCGATCTCCCTACACCCAGCCAAGTCTCCCATTTTGGGCAGGAAAATTGAGTTCAGTTTCAGTCATTTTGAGTCTGAAGTGCTTTGTAAGCAATTGAGTTATCTGGGGCTCCAAAGAGGGGTCTGGCTGCCAAGTGGGGTAAGCTGGGGGCAGTGCTGCTCCCTTGGGCAGAAGGAAGTTCTGAGAGGTGGTTGAGGGTATCTGCAGGGGGACGAAGGCGGAAGTCTGCTAGGGGTGTACACTGAGATGCAGCCCACAGCTTTCCTTCCCCTGGGGTCACTGCTGCTGGAAACATTCCTAGAGGGGGAATGTGAAGATAGAGGAAGGTTTCTACAGCTCTCGATGTCTGTTGTCAAAATAAGTGGTGAGAACAAAGTTGAACCAACTTATTTCCATCCTTGGCAGTGTTTGGGCTCATTGGCTTCCTGTGGCCTCCATGATGTGGAGGTTTAGTGATATTCTGCTAACTTTTGCCGATTTAGTGGCCACACGATGATTGTTAAAGTGTGCATCTCCAGGCTGATTTAGCTCTCAACAGCCCCACCTTTTCCAGATGTTCCCGTACATTTCTCCCTTAGTAGGGCCATGTCTCCTTTCCTGATCACAGATTGTGTGTTCCCCCGTGTCAGTACGCTGGGATGGGTGGAATCTGCAGCTTCTATTGCTGGAGCTTTAACTTTACACTAAACCACTCAACTAGCTTGAGTATTATTCCACAATTACTATTTTTAAAATGATATATATAATTCATTTAATGTAAGATTCACCAGTTGTTTTGTTTTTTTGTTTTCTTGGTTTTTTTGAGTCAGAGTCTCACTCTGTCACCCAGGCTGGAGTGTAGTGGCACGCTTACGGTCACCTCAGTTTTGATCTGCTGGGTTCAGACGATCCTTCTGCTTCAACCTTGTGGAACTACAGGCATGCACCACCAAGCCTGGCCAATTTTTTGATTTATTATAGAGACGAAGTCTTGCCACATTGCCTAGGCTGGTCTTAAACCCATGGGCTCAGGCAACCCTCTTGCCTCCGCCTCCCAAAGTGCTGGGATTACAAGCATGAGCCACTGTGCCTGGCAAAATTCACCATTTTAAAGTGTGTGTGTCATTGGCGTTCAGCACATTGTGGCATGACCACTGCCTCTGCTAGTTGCAAACATTTTCATCATCAGAAGGAACCTGGCAGTCAATTCCTTTTTCTCCTTGCCTCAGCCTCTGGCAGTTTCCAGTCTACTCTTTCTGTGCATTTGCCTGTTCTAGACATTTCCTATAAATGGAGCCACACAGTGCACATGGCCTTCTGTGTCTGACTTCTCTTGCTGAGCATCATGCCTTCAGAGGTGATCCATATTGCAGTCTATGCCACTGCTTTCTTTTCATGGCTGAATAGTGTTCTGTTGTATGAATAGACCACGTTTTCTTTATCCATTCACCCATCAATGGACATTTGGATTGCTTCCACTTTTTGACTGTTGTGAATGAGGCTGCTATGTGTGTTTGTGTATGCATTTTTGTAAGAACATACATTTTCAGTTCCTTATGGCATATCTTTATTTTATTTATTTGTTTGTTTATTTTTTGAGTTGGAGTCTCACTCTGTCACCCAGACTGGAGTGCAGTGGCCGCTCCCGGCCACCGCAGCCTCGACCCGCTGGGCTCTGGCGATCCTTCCGCCTCAGCCTTCCAAATAGCTGGAACTGTAGGCGCTTGCTACCACGCCCAGCTAATTTTTTATTTATTGTAGAAATGAAGTTTCACCAAGTTTCCTGGACTAATCTCAAACCCGCGCACTACCCTGCCTGGCTAATTTTTGATTTATTGTAGAGATGAGGTCTCGCCAAGTTCCCCAGGCGGGTCTCGAACCCGCAGGCTCAGGCAATCCACTCACCTCAGCCTCCCAAAGGCACGGGATTACAGGCTGAGCCACCGAGCCCAATTCTTTATTTATTTTTTATTTTGAGTCGGAATTTCACTCTGTCTCCCAGGTTGGAGTGCAGTGGCACGCTCACGGCCACCCCAGCATTGACCTGCTGGGCTCTGGCGATCCTTCTGCCTTAGTCTTCCAAGTAACTGGAACTATAGGCGCTTGCTACCACGCCCAGCTAATTTTTTATTTATTGTAGAAATGAGGTTTCACCAAGTTTCCTGGACTAATCTCAAACCCGTGGGCTAAGGCAATCCGTTCACCTCAGCCTCCCAAAGTGCTGGGATTACAGGCTGAGCCACTGAGCCCAGCTTGCTAATTTTTTTTTCATTTATTGTAGAGATGAGGTCTTGCCATGTTGCCCAGGCTGGTCTTGAACTCACAGGCCCTGGCAATCTTCTTGCCTCAGCCTCCCAAAGTACTGGGATTACAGGCATGAGCCACAGCGCCTGACCTCTCAGTTATTTCTTAGTTCCTGTTTCCTTATGAGTTCTGGATCATGTCCTTTGCTTTCTTCCCCAGGAACTTGAACAAGAATGTGAATTTGACATTGCTGACATAGTGAGTGGACATGGAGATGAGGCCGACCGGCAGCAGCAGACTCAGGTGAGCCAGTGGGATCAGGGATGTGGGCTCTCAGCCTCCAAATGTTCCCGGTATGTGCTCTGTGACCTCACCAGGGCGCTATGGGTTTTGGGATTTGGGGTGCGGGGTTCTGGGTGGGTGGGCACTGCTGACCTGCTGTCTCCTATCTCTGCTTTATTTCCCACTTCTGTGTGTGGGACTGTCACAAGGGCCAGTGGTGGCAACATATGTGGATATCCAAGGGCAGGGAGTCTGACCAGGTGCAGGTCACGTGAGTGACACACACTGACCTCAGGGTTAATTGTTCTCCTCCTTCAGCTGCCAATTCCACCCTGAGTACCAGCAGAGCCGTGGTCCAACGAGGGAGGGGTACTGGTAGAAGGCGTGTCTGGGTGGCACCAGTGCTCAGGCTGGAGCATTTGAGCCCCTGGGAAGTGAGGGGCTGTAGGGGACATGTGCTTCGTAGAGTAGCTGCCTCCTTGGTGTCCTGCCTCTGCTCTGGGGAGGTGCCTCCTGTTGTCGTATGTGTCCTGCTTGTCTGTCTCCTTTTTTTTTCACTTTTGATTTTTTTATTTTAAAGATGTGGGGTACAATTCAGGGTGAGGTACCTACAAATGTTCATTATACAGGAACTCTTGTTGATGAGGTGTGCCCCTTTTTCACTGGCAGTTTCCCACTATTGCCAATCCCTTTCTTATAATGTTATGATTAATTGTTCAAGGTCTGCTTATGAGTAAGTGATACATCGTTCTTTGTTTCTGCAATAGATCACTCAGTATTATAGCTCTAAGTCTATCCAAGTTGCTGCAAAGTCTATGATTTTTCCTTCTTTATGGCTGTATAATATTCCTTCATGTTTGTCTGTCTCCTTATTTGTTATCATTCTGTGCGTTTTTGTCTCTGACATGCCCTGGCTCTGAATACAGCCCTCTTCAGAGATGCTTCTCTCCACTGCAGACTGTGCACAACCTTGAGCTGGAAGCGGTGCGCCTGAGCCTGAGCAACATGCATACGGTGCAGCTGGAGCTGACACAGGCCAACCTCCAGAAGGAGAAGGAGACGGCCCTGACAGAGCTGCGTGAGATGCTGAACAGCCGGCATGCCCAGGAGCTGGCCCTGCTGCAGAGTAGGCAGCAGAGTGAGCTGGAGCTCATTCGGGAGCAGCACGCTCAGGAGAAGGAGGAGCTGGTACTCAGGTGTGGACAGAAAGCAGGTACTGCACAGGCTTGCGCAGGATGGGAAGTGGATGCTGAACAGGCTATAATCATGAATGGAAAGTGGATCCCACACATTCCCATGCGTGAACGGGAAGGGGGTGCCCCACAGGCTCAGAGTGTGGACAGGAGGGGTATGCCACACACTCCTGGGCATGTATGGCAAAAGGGTGCTGCACATTTCCAGGTGTGGACGGGAGTAGGGTGCTGCATAGGCTCAGTGTGGATGGAAAGGGAGTGCCATACACTCCCCAGCATGGACGGAAAGCGGGTACCCCATAGGCTGAGGGCCATACGTCCCAAGCACAGCCAGAATACTTTCAGGTTGTAACTGGACCTTTACAGTGACTTTTAAAAGGATGACGTTTTCCAAATAACTTTCCTTTTTGTAAGTATAATTCCTGCTTTTGTTATTTGACAGGCAGGTAATCCAACCTGTGGTGCCTTCTGTTTATGGGGTTCCTCACAAGCCAGAGCAGAGCACAGACCTCTCTTGGTGCACAGGGGAGTGTAGCACCAGTGGTGAGCGTCTGCTGCCTGGAGCCCACCTTCAGAGTGTTTCTTAGGCCCTGTTGTGGCTGGACTCTCGTTAGCATCCCCAGGTCTTGGAGCGTTTGTTTGTTTCTCTTGTTAACAGTAGCGTACCCTGTTTTTCAGTGCTCTATGTGTTTGCTTTAACCATGTTATCCATGTTATCCATGTTAGCCTTGCTACCTCTGCCTCCCATCTTTTCCAGTGGTCTTGCATTAATTTGGAAACTTTCATTGGAAAGTGACTCACTCATGTTCTGGAACTTTCTCTATCAGTACCTTTGACAGGACTTTGCCTGTCTGGCTGTTCTTTGTCAATTCGAACACTCTTAGAACCCTGCATTCCACTCCTGGCGGGTGGCTGCCATCTGCTGCTTAACCTGGGAGTTTTCTTTTTGGGGGGGGCTTGGAATCGCACTCTGTCATCCAGGGTAGAGTGCATTGGCACGCTCATGGTCTTCACAGCCTTGAGCCTCAACCTGCTGGGCTCATGCGATCCTACTGCCTCAGCCTGCCAGGTAGCTGGAACTACAGGCCAGCTAATTTTTAAAAAAAATTTATTGTGGAGATGAGGTCTCCCCATGTGCTCAGGTTGGTCTTAAACTCCTGAGCTCAGGCAGCCTTCTCGCCTCTGCCTCCCAAAGTGCTGGGATTACAAAAGTGAGTCACCGTGCCTAACTGACCTGGGAGCTTTTTATATTTGCCTACACTGAACTCTGTTTGTCTAACAGTTACCTTTATGTTTCAGTTTTAATGACTTTTGGGTACTCTTTTTGTTGAAATAGTCACTATTTTTGTGGAGATCTTTTTTAAATAACAGCTTTGTTGATACAATTCACATACTGTACAATTCATCCATTTAATTTGGTGGCTTTTAGTACATTCACAGAGTTTGCCAAAGCCTAAGTTTAGAACATTTATCACCCCCAAAAGAAATCCCGTGCCCCTTAATGGTTTCCGTTTTCCTGCTGGGTGTGAATGCATATCTGTTTAGAGTTTCACTTGAAAATAAAAGCAGCGTGTCCAGCTGTGGATGTGTTGAAAAGTCTTCCCTCTGCCCCTGGGCTCACCTGCCACTCTTCCTATACCCTGAGGGACCAGTTTTCTTAGTTTCTTGTGATGCCTTCCTATGTTTCTTCATGTAGCTTCAAGCAAACACAAATATTTATTTTCATTTTTCTCCTTTTTTCAAATATAGAACATAATTTGCCTCTTGCCCGTTTCTTTGCTGCTTTCTCTGCATGTGCTCCCAGGATGGTGTCATCCCATCCCACAGAGCCCTGCCTTCTCTTTGGCCTCCTGGTCCCACATGGGCACATTGCTCATCAGAGTTGCTGACCCTTTGGCTTTATTTATTTATTTATTTATTTATTTATTTATTTATTTATTGAGTCAAAGTCTCATTCTGTTACCCAGACTGGAGTGCAGTGGCACAATCATGGCTACTGCAGCCTCAACCTGCTGGGCCCAGGCAATCCTTCCACCTCAGCCTCCTGAGTAGCTGGGACTATAGGCGTGCACCAACATGCTTGGCTAATTATTTTATTTTATTTTATTTTTGAGATGAGGTCTTGCCCTGTTGGTTTCAAATTCCTGGACTGGTCTCGAACTCCTGGGTTTTGGCAATCCTCAGCTTCCTGAAGTACTGGAATTATAGGCGTGAACCACCGCTCCTGGCTGCTCTTTGAATTTAATCCTCAACCTGTGATGCTGCCCTGATAGCAGTGCCTTATCTACTCTTACCTCTTACCCTCCCTTCCTGGGTCCTCCAGCTACATCTGCCTGCTGCTCAGATTCCCACATGCACATGCACCTCTTAGGTCCGTGCACCTTTGTGCACACCTACCCCTTCTGACACCCATGCTGATACATGAGCCTCTTTTCTTGTGCTTCTTCCCTCTTGGGATTGGGCATCATCAGGGCCTAGAACTGTCTCTCCCATTGTGATTCCCAGCATCTCGTGGAGTCTGGCACCATGGGAACCCGAATAAGGGGACCCAGAGTTGTGGCCAGAAGGTTAGAGTGGGTTTCAAGGTGGTCAGTGACAGGTGGGAGCCCAGGAGCTGACCTTAACACGCTCTCAGGTTGTCCTTTGTGGCTGAACAGCATGATGTCATCAGCTTCTTATGTAAACCAGACATCATCACAGACATGTCCCGCCATCCTGTGAACATTGGCGCGTGGTTGTGGAGCAGCTGGTGTGTACTGGAGCCTCCTCATCTCCTGGATAATCAAGTCTTTTAACAGGTTTGAGTGGTCTGAGCTACTTTTTGTTTGTCTTGCAGCTGAGCTGAAGGACAAGTTACAATCAGAAATGGAGAAAAGCGCCCAGATGATAGAGGTACCTGTGATTGCTGAGAAAGATATAAATTTGTGTATATGTCACTTTTCCTTTCTCCTCATGTCCCATGAGAGCACCCTTCACCTTGATTCAGACAAAATTCAATTGCAGCTCTATTGGATGTGCTTGTTGAAAGGATATTGCATTTTTACATTTGTACAATTCATATTTGTCAGAAAGTTGTTTTGTTGTTTTATGTTGACTTCTGTAGCATAAAGGTGTTTGTCCACCCTTCCACGCTAGTGTTCTGAGTGGCCTCTGTGGCCTGGCCGGAGCTGTGCTGTGGGGCATGGCCTCTGTCCTCTTAGAATTGTATCCAGTAGCAGGAAGTGAATGTAGTTCAGTGATTGCAGGGCATACAGGTGCTGGGGTGCCTTGGAGAAAACCTAACAGGGAGAGGCTTCAGGTGGGATGGGCACATTTAGATGATGGGTGTGTCACTGGGCACCATGGGTGGTGGTGCCAAGTCAATGCCAGGACTGTGGCAAGAGGGGTAAGCTGCCAGCTATGCCGCTCCAGGTGTCTGGGCTGCTCTTGGACCCTTGGCCAAGGGTGGGTGTCAGTTTAGGCTGAGGGCCGTGTTTCAGCTCCTACCCCCAATCTAAGCAGTGGGGCTCTTTTCTCAGAGTCTTTTTTTTTTTTTGGAGGTGGAATCTCACTCCGTTGCCCAGGCTGAAGTGCTGTGGCATACTCATGGCCACCCCGATGTCAACCTGCTGAGCTCTGGTGATCCTTCTGCCTCAGCCTTCCAAGTAGCTGGAACTACAGGCACGCACTACCACACCCGGCTAACTTCTTTTTGATTTATTGTAGAGATGAGGTCTTGCCAAATTGCCTGGGCTGGTCTCAAACCCACGGGTTCAGGCAATCCACTTGCCTCGGCCTCCCAAAGTGCTGGGATTACAGGCTTAGCGATCCTGGCCTTCTCAGGGTCTCATAGGGAGACTGACTTATGAACCTTTGAGAGTGACTATGAACCACATGTTGTGTTCAGAGGCTGCTTTGTTTCTGGGTGGGTGTTCCTTGTTCTTTTCTCTGGCTATACTCCTTGTGGATGCTTTTGTCCTTCAGCACTTGGGGAGTAGACTAATATGACATCGAGAGCTTATTTCCTATGAGGACAGTTAGTTTGGGGGTACTGAGGCCTACTCTTGGTTTCTGATTGTGCAATGTACATTTCTTTTTTTTTTTTGAGTTGGAGTCTCACTCTGTTGCCCAGACTGGAGTGCAGTGGCTGCTCCTGGCCACCGCAGCCTCGATCTGCTTGGCTCCAGCGACCCTTCCGCCTCAGCCTTCCAAGTAACCGGAATTACAGGCATGCGCTATCACGCCCAGCTGATTTTTTGATTTATTGTAGAGATGAGGTCTTGCGGCCCAGGCAGGTCTCGAACCCGCGGGCTCAGGCAATTCACTTACCTCAGCCTCAAAGGCGCTGGATTACAGGCTGAGCCACCGAGCCTGGCACAATGTACATTTCTTTACCACAGTCAATATCAATAACCAACAATCGGTAATCAGCAATTAACTTTAATTTCCTTTTTCTTTTAAATTAGACCCTGAAGCAAGACTGGGAATCTGAAAGAGATTTATGCTTAGAAAGTCTGCGCAAAGAATTGTCTGCGAAGCACCAAACGGAAATGGAGGATTTACAAAACCAGTTTCAGAAAGAACTGGCAGAACAGAAAACTGAGTTAGAGCGGATGTATCAAGCCAAAAACCAGGCTGAATGTGAGCATCTGATTAAAATGAGCTTGTCTGGAGGTGGAACTGAGTTTTTTTGTATAGCACTAGAAGAAACAGCATGTACTTACCACACGTGACTGAGCACACATTTCTCGTTTCTCACTTTTGCTTTTAAATGCAGGACAGCTATGCATTCATGACAGTTGTGACCCTCATAAGTCACAGTCCTTTCAAAGTCCTTACACCTTCCTGATCTTTGTTTCAAACTTTTTTTTTCTTGTTAAGTTACTAAATTGCTAACATAGCAGTAGTTTTGTGATTTTTTTTTTTTTACTCTTGATATCCTGAAATTTCATGTCCCATGGTGACACCCCAGGGCACATGCAGTGAGGGGCATACAGTACCCCTCACTGCATGTGCCCTGCCATGGTGTGCTATTGGGCTTGTGAGTCTTAATTTAGGTCGGTGTTAGTGCCCTGTGTGCACTGTCACCATTACTGACAGTAACGTGCTGATCAATGTTGAGGAAGAAAGCACTGTCTTGTCACAAACTCAGTGAACTTTGTGCTGCTTCCTAGTCACCTTGAAGAACCTGGAGACTCAGCATCAAGCAGCCATTAAGAAGTTACGTGAAGATCTACAGTCTGAATGTTGCCAGTATTTAGAAGATTTGGAGTTAAAGTTTAAAGAAAAGGAAAAGAACAAACAGCTAGAGGTAGGCAAGGGCTTATTTACTTTTAATGACTTGGTATATTAGGCAAATTTTGCAAGATTTTAGAGTTGGACTATTTCATTCTCTGTTATTTGTTAAAACTTAAGTACTAAATTTACAGAGACTGTCAGTGTTTGGTAAATCAGAGTGTCAAGATATAGAGTCTGTGAGGTTGACTTAATAATGTTGTTCAATCTTGTACTCAGAAAATGTCTATTCTTTACTAGTGTCTCTGAGACAATTATGCCAATTTCAAACAGTAGGAGTGTAAGACCAGATTCTCTGCCCATGATCCAGTAAACAAGAAAAGGTCACCAAGAACTTAGTTTAATTTCTGCTGTTAGATATTCTGATGAGTCCACATCTCAAAATGTAAGAGATGTGGCCAGGTCCTTATCAGAGGCCTGATGTGCTTTTATTACTAAACCTGACCATCTCAAGCATCAGGCCAAAAAATTAAAATGGAAATAAACCAGAAGCTGAACCAGGAACTGATAGTGGTATGTGTAGAGATTTGTAAACTGGAGAAGATGGAAGTAGTCAGAGTCCGGGGTCTTTGGGAGCCTGTCCTGGGCCAACAGTGTCTCCCAGCAGGGCTCTGGCACCCACACATTCTCTACCGCAGACAGAGGCCAGGCCAGGGCTTACTCCACATCCCACTCTCCCTGGGTCTTTCCAGGCTCTCCCTCACTGCTGGGAGAGAGAGAGCTGGCAACGCCTTCTGGTCTGACGTCCACACTCAGGAAAGACTAGAGGGCTGCTTCCCCAAGAAGAATGACTGACCTTAGATCAGCATCATTCAGATCTTTGGGCTGTGTAGTGCTGCTCTGTTGACTCTTGTTGATGTATCTAGAAAAACTTGATGTCAAAGTGGTAAGAAGAACCTGTTTCCTTACTGTAAAAATATTAAAAGTGAGAATGGCCCTGTTTTGTGAGTCTGTGGACTAATAAGAATGTCCCTAACATCCATTCAGTAGATTGTATGTGTGACCCTGTGCTGTACCTGGTAGATTCAAACAGCTGAAACCTCATAGATGTGGGCGCACATGTATGTGATGATGCTGTAGAAGCACTGCACGGTGGAGGCTCTGCTCTCAAGCCTGTGCTTCTCCCTAAGGGCTTGGCCATGATGTCTTGGTCCTCAAAGTTGTGCTACAGACAGACCTACCCAGGGGTTGCCATTCTCTGTATGCTCAGCCTTGTAGGGTTGTTAGTTGGCATAGGCTTTGGCCCTGCTCTTGCAGATGATGTACTCCTGCTCTCTGCTGCTGCCGGTCTTCTCTGGGCTGCAGCTTTGGGATATGAGCTTTGACCCTGAAGTGTTCACAGTGACACAGATAACCACACAGACCCACATCTGTCACTGCCAGAGCCAGGAGGCTTGATTCCATGAGTTCCTCATGTTGACATTTGCTTTCTCCCAGCTAGAGAATCTTCAAGCCTCCTACGAAGACCTGAAGGCACAGTCACAGGATGAGATCAGACGCCTGTGGTCCCAACTCGACTCCACAAGAACCAATAGGCAGGAGCTGAGTGGTGAGGAACTTTATGTGGAAAGTTCAGATTCTCAGAAACTAATGCTGTGTGTTTTTAATTGTTAAATCCCAAACTAGAGTTTAACAATTGTAGCAAGCACAAAAAATAACTTTGTAAGTTTACTAGTCTAACATTCTGAAAATTGAGGTGTATAGTTTGAAGAGGAGGTTTGTTTTTGGGAGAGAGCCTGGTTTTGCCCTAAGCAAGTCAGTCAAGCAATGTTATGGACTAAAACTGACATTAATATGAGATGTTTTTGAGTACAAGAGGAAGAAAACTTTCCAGTGGCTTCTGTTTTCCTTGAAGCTGAGGTTGAGTGCAGTAGAAATGTGACTCTTGGCTGGGTTCGGGGACATAGGGCAGGGCTGCTCTCATTCTGCCCAGTGACCATGTGCTCCCCTTGAGGTGGATGTCTCAGGCTTCCCTGGCCCCAGCTCTGGTTCTGGATGGTAATACCTGAGGCTCCAGGCCCCAGCCACTATGGCTACTTGCTGAGGGTGGCTCCATTCCTTGCAGCTGGGCTCCTCTGAGGACCCTGAGGCCCAGATGCTTCCTTTCATGTCATAGAGGTCTCTGCTGAGTGATGAGGATGGACTCTTGAGGGCCTGCAGAGCCACTTGTGCCTGCAGACAGGGCTGGCTGAGCCCATTCAGGCTATCAGTGTCCAGGGCCACAAGGGATCAGAACAAGCTGTTCTACATTTTCCTGATGCTCATCTACAGATAGGTCCTTTGACTCCAACCCTCCTGTGGGTGAATATGGTATGGAGCAAGAAGCAGTGGTGAGATTGGATCAGAACCAACGCTGCCTGGGCGTTGCCTTCTCTCATAGTGGGACAAATGAGGTCTGGCCTCGCCTCGTTGTATCCGGGGCTTGTCTGTTTGTCTTTACCTTGAGGAAAATAGAGAAGCTGGAAGGGTTACAGGCACAGTTTCCTTTATACAGGCTCTAACTCTAGCACATTCCACAGCAGGTCTTCATCCTGCCTTGGGACTTTACAGAGAACTTTGTCTTTTTTTTTGAGTTGGAGTCTCTCACTCCATTGCCCATCCTGGAGTGCAGTGGCATGCTTATGGCCACCCCAGCATCGACCTGCTGGACTCCGGTGATCCTTCCACCCCAGCCTTCCAAGTAGCTGGAACTACAGGTGTGCATTACCACGCCCAGCTAATTTTTTATTTATTGTAGAGACGAGGTCTCACCAAGTTGCCCTGGCTGGTCTCGATCCTGCGGGCTCAGGCAATCCACTCGTCTCGGCCTTCCAAAGTGCTGAAGTGCTGGGATTACAAGTTGAGCCACTGAGCCTGGCCTATCTTTTTTTTTAATTTTTAATTTTCTATATTGAGGTAGAGATGGGGGTCTCGCTATGTTGACCAGGCTGGTCTTGAACATTAGGCCTCAAGCAATCCTCCCATCTTGCCCTCCTAAAATGCTGGAATTATAAGCATGAACCACCAAGCCCAGCCCATACAAAGAACTTTGATTTGGAGTTTCTGGGCTGGTGACCAGCTTCTGTCTGCATCACTAGTTGTTCATTACTACTGAGCATCTGACTGTATTCTCTTGACCACAGTGGCAATGCGGACAAGTTCTCTTATGGTCTATGTGGCTTTTCTGTTGCTGTGTAATAAATTATCACAAACTTGGTGGCCTAAAGCAATACACATTTATTAGCTCATGGGTCTGAGAAGGAGTGACTGGATTTTCTGCCCAGGACATTCAGGTGTTAGTGGCCGCACATTGACCTGAACTTGCTTCCAGGTTCCTTCAGGCTGACTGGATCCAGTTCCTCCCGGGTATATGACTGGTGTCTGTCTCCTTGCTGGCTGTGTCTTAGCTCTTAGAGCTACCCCTGCCACCTCAAGGGCTGTTCCTGCTCCTACATTCTGTGGCTGTAGTACCACTAAAGATAGCCCCGCTTTTTACGGGGCTGTGGATGTTAAGCCCTGTGCAGGAGCAGACCCTTGTCACATTCTCAGGTTCTGGAGTTGGGGCCCTTTTCAGAATTCTGTTCCCACACCACAGGGTCTTACGTGTCTCCTGCTTTTTGTAAGTGTCTCATTTTAAGACAACTGCATAATTTCATCCTATTACAGAGTTACACGAGCAGCTCCTGGTTCGGACATCTCACGTAGAGGAATTGGAACACCTCAAGCGAGATTTTGAACAGCAGCAGCAGCAAGAAAAAGCCCAACACGAGTCTGAATTGGAACAGTTGAGGATTTATTTTGAAAAGAAATTAAAAGATGCTGAAAAAACTTACCAAGAAGACCTGACTCTATTACAACAACGGTTGCAGGAGGTGAAGGAAGATTCTTTTCTGGAATCTGTGGACATCAGGTAAATAAAGCAGTTTTTATCTTAAATATGTTCCTAAAATACAGGAATCTTGTTCTGAATTCATATCTAGTTTTGTTTGTAATTTCATGCCAGTGGAGACCAACACCTTTTGTTTTAGAAACACATTTTATGATTGAGACTCAAGATGGTGCTATCACTGGAACCTGAGTCTCTGGCCTGCACATCTCTGTGAGTCAACCATGTGTGACTGCCATGCAGGTGGCTAGTGGGTGCGCTGCCTGCAAGTCTGGCTCTCCTGTGGGGCTGAGTGTGGATGCGGTGGTCTCCTATCCCTGGGCATCACTGTACTCAGTGTGGAAGCACAAGAAAAGGCCTCCTGTCTGTAGGGTCAGTCCTAGAGACAGAGCAGAGCACACAGGGAAAGGGCATGTGTAAAGTTATAAAACATGTTTTCTCTCTTAGTTCTTCCTGTGTATGTTTAGAAGAGACATCTGAAAAAGAAAGAAAAGACGACCTTGATCAACTTAACCTTCACCTTGAGCAACATAAGGTAATAGGCCAGTCACTGAGGTTGAGTTCCTTGATTCTTTAATTTAGGGATGGGTATCTGTCCCATTATATAATCTGAATTTCTACCGTTCCCAGATATGTCAAGTAAAGGATGACTTCTTTCACATCTTGTGTGCTGCTGCACCACGATCTGCCTCTTTATTTATTATTGATCAGGGAGGGACAAGTGACCAGGGAAGCCAGAGTTCTTCCCTCAGCCCTACAACACTCTAAAGAGAGACCTTTTCCCTGTAGTTCATACTGCATGTTTGTCAAACTTGACTTTCTGTCATTTTGAAGGGTGTGGATTTGTGTTTGTGTCATGTGTCAAACATCTTTTCATTGACTTTTGTGTTTCTTCTTCCTCAAATTGTTCCCTTGGTATGGTTTACGTCATTTTTAACCTCTGTGGAACAGTACTGTGCAAACAGAACTTCCTGGGATGATGGAATGTTCTGAATCTGTGCTGCCAGCACAGGACCCACTGGGGTATGTGACTGTGGAGCAAGCCCAATGTGTCAGGCTCTAGGGGGCTGTACAGAGGGAGGAAGGACCATGCATAGGAAGGAGGAGAGGAGTCGCAGTAGCAGGTCTGTGTACCTCATAGCATGGTGGAACCAGAGGAGATCCCATGGGCATCTAAGGGAGGTGGCCAGGACATCTTACACCAGAGCAGGATCCCCCAGGCTGAGACCTCAGCCTGCTGGAAGCCATGTGTCAGGCAGCAGCTGGGCCCTTCACAGGCCCTAAAACAGAATCCAACACACAAGAGATTATGGGACAAATGCCACAGAAGGAGAGAAGAAAGTGACTGGAGAAGGTGGTCGGGGCCATCTGTGGAGCAGGCCTGACCCTGGGAGTGGGAGAGCGAGGGAAGGGGCCTGGCAGGAGCAACCTGTGGTGCAGCCATTGAGGCTTTGGTCATGTTGCCAGAGCAGCCTGCCAGGCGTCCCTGCATTACCTCCTGGGGCCTATGGAAGCCAGTTCCCTGCATGGGTGTAGGTGTGATGTGGACACACTTGTTAGTGGGCAGCACTCACAGGAAGCTGGCATTGAGAAGAGAGTTCAGGCTTGAGATGTGTGACAAAGTGTGGGAGACCACCTAGGGGAGTGAACCAACAGCAGAGGCCAAGAGTGAAACCAGTGAAGGATGTATGTCAGGTGCTGCAGAGGCATGAGAGGGCACACGCCCCATGCTGGACCAGTGGTCAGGTGGCTGCCAGTGACCTTGATGAGAGAACAGGCGAGTAGTCTGCTTATGCTATGGCACCACTCCTCAGGATGCAGCCACCATTCTCATGAGTTCTCAAGGCTGGCTTGGAAGAGAGGTGATGGTAGCAGAGAGAGATGGCGTGAGTGCACCTGTGGCTGGGGCTTCTCATGGCTAGAGTGTATGGTCTTGTGAAACTGGTGAGATTTTGTGTCTTTTTTGCACATGGAGGAAGCACTTTTGGGGGTAGTAACTGCAAACAAGGAAACTAGGCTCTTTAATGCCTTTATCTTGGGTGGTTTTTCCACAGGAGACCCTGACACATTTTCAGATGGAGTTAGAAGATCACAGGCCTGAGTTTGAAGCATTGGAGTCTCCCCTCTCTGTCCAGCATGAGGGGCACATCTTGAACAGATTCCTCACGGAGACTGCGGTGTTGGGGCAGGACCAGCATCTGGAGCCCTCAGAGGAGCACAGCCAAGGTGAGCCTGGGCCTGACAGATGCTCTGGGAGAGGCCAGGGCTCGCGATTCCACCTGGATACTCTTTACCTCTTATGCTGCCAGAGGGTGTCCTGACAGTGGGTTTGGCATCAGGGGCAGGACCACTGCCTGGGCAGGAGCACATGTCCTGGACCGGCTCCTCTATGGTGTGGGTCTGACCTGGGTGGCCGCCTGCCCTGGGATCACTGGGATTCCTGGACGGGGGTGACCACTCACCCTCTGCAGGGAGGACATGTGTCAGGTGGGCCTGCAGAAGACTTTTCCAGGATCCTGTTCATCTCTTAGCAGGCCCAGGGCAGGTGGGGCTCTGGCGGCTCATGTGGTCAGACCAAGGCTGTGGGACGCCCAGGCAGGGCACAGGGGATGGACTATGGACTGGTCATCAAGTGGTAAGATAGAGAACCTATGGACATCTCAGAGTCCCCATCCCAATTGGACCAGATAGTGGCCACTTTCACAGATTCCGGAAGAGAGGCAGGCAGTCTCTGGCAACTGGTATGAAATGTGATGGTGGGGCTGCAGTGCTGCCAGATACTCGCTGCTCCAGCTCAGTGCAGACCTGGGGCTCCATTTGTCTCCGTGGTAGAGGAGAGGAGGCTGGGGTTGTGGGTCCTGCCTGGAAGGCACGTGGATCAGGCTTTACACTGGGTGCTGTGTCTTGAGTCTCACCTAAGAGTTGAGGGGTCAGCATGCAGCAGGTGTGAGAATCTTCTATTCCCCCAACCTTCTTTTTTTTTTTTGAGTCAGTCTTACTCTGTCACTCAGGCTGGAGCTCACGGCCACTGCAGCCTCAACCTGCTGGGTTCAGGTGATCCTTCTACCTTAGCCTTCCTAGTAACTGGAACCACAGGCATGTGCCACATGCCCAGCTAATTTTTTTTGATTTATTGTAGAGATGAGGTCTCGCCAAGTTGCCCAGACTAGGCTCAGGCAATCCTCTTGCCTCAGCCTCCCGAAGTGCTGGGTTTACAGATGTGATCCACCATGCCCAGCCTGTTCCCTATTTTTGTCCTTTCTGTACCAGAGACACTCATAGCCACCCCACAACGCATGTCATCCTTGAATCCTGCTGATGCTGGAATGGTCTCTGGGTGTCTTCTCCCTGTGTCTTGACTCTGTTTTAGGACTTGTGCTTTTCTTATCCTCTTCTGCAGAAGTGGGGGGTAGTAGTGTGCCCAGCACAAGGGCAGGGATGTGAACTCTGGTGGGTATCTGACCTCAGGCTTGGTCCTTGTTCCAGTGCCTTGCAGACCTGAGTGACACATGTCCACCCATGGCTCACCCAGGGCATTAGTGGAGGGACTTGAAAGAGCAGCATGGGGGACTGAGTGGCTGCTGTGCAGATCTGGGGGCATTCCTGTCACTCAGATAGGGCTATGCCAGGGCAGTATGGGGTGTGTCCCCCAGAGGGATACTTGGGAGAGCTGTGCCCACTTCCACTCCTGAGTTAGCCTAACACTTTAAAATCCAGAATGTTAGCCGGGCTCGGTGGCTCAGCCTTTAATCCTGTGCCTTGGGAGGCTGAGGTGAGTGGATTGCCTGAGCCC